AAGTTCTGCCAGCAGTCGCTGTGCATAACGTGACCGCAAGTGCTTATATGAGGCCCGAAGTATAGGTCAGAAGTGACAAACAGTGGGTCGATATTATCGCTATCGCTCGACAACTTCCTGTTTCGGTTCTTCGATAAATTAGTTGATCTTTGGATAAATGCCGATAAGACTAAACAACGACCCGTTACGGACACCTCCTGCTCTTCGCGACACAGAATACAAGTGTGCCGTTCAGTGGTAGACGACTTTCCCATTTGATTCTCTCCGACAGCAATGGGTTCGCCAACATTTGGATCCACTGTTAAGTCCATCATTGAATCGGCGTTCGAAACCTTGGGATCGCAAGTGAAGAAATCGGGATTGTCTTTAATAAAGCTCTTCTGAAGCGCCGCCATTTGAGCCATTATTCGTTCCCTCCGTTTGGCCGCCAATTCTGACTTAAATTTGGTGTCGTTTTTGGGTTTCTCGTGATTTGGCTGCTCTTCCATCGGTTGATCTTTCAAAACAAAATCTGTTTTCTTTGTTTGCAAGACTTCGTTGAAGTGTTTTACAGTCCATTTCAATAAGTCTTTGTGTATATCTATTCGCTGAATAATCGTTCGATTCATACATTCTTCAAGTAATTGAAGGATCCCTTTGTCGACACATTTCTCAATAAATTTGAAGTCCGGAACCGTTCCTTTGGTTTCTTCGTGTAATCCAACGCCTATTATATGCAACACTTTCTCGAACTGAGTTTCGGAGAAGGAGACGGCGTGCAGATTACACGTCCGCTTCAGCACCACTCCTATCACATGAAGCATTGCATCGCAATCTATTAACTGAGATATGGCTGCGAATTGTGGCGAGAAATCAGGAGGAATGGGTGGCGGACAGCATATCAGCTCTTCTTCGTTCTGTTTCTTGCGCTTCATTTGTGTTTCTTCAGCACATGACTGGTCCTGACGTGAGTAGTGATAAAAGAATGGATTGAAATCTTTGTGATACTCGGCTTTGAGCTCGTATTTGCCGGTCGTCTGTGTGGTTGGTCTCCGGAAAGTCGCCACTTCTTTGATTATGTCTTCGATACTACAGTCGTAAGGGATGGTCTCCTTTGGCAACAAGTATTTGACGAGTTCTGAGTGAGTCATTGGAGTCATTGACAGCCATTGAATGATCTCCTTTTTGATCCTCTCCTCGAGTGTTACTTTTCCCACTCCGGGAACAAATCGTTCGGATATTAAGATAAGTATGAGTCCCAGGAATTCCTCGACCAATGAGATGGTTTGCCGGACGTAATCTTCTTCGGGCTTTCGGTTGACGCCCTCGTAGTTATCCTGAGCCCAGAAAAGTAGACTAAACTTATTGAGAACGTGAATCATGTACTCATTGGGTGGACAGCGGGCGGCGCCGATTTGCAACATCAATATGTCTCTGTCGTACATCTCTTCGCGCAGTTTCACATTATGGTAGAAATAGACCTGATTTACCAGCGAATAGCCGTT